GTATGTAAGTGAAGTTCGACACTGAGTGGCGTGCTTAGCCACTATAATCCCCTATAACGCTAAGAACCCCCTAAGACGTGCTAGATAATTGAAAGCTAAACCGTAGTTTTTCCGTGAGACAGCATGAGCCACGCTGAGCGAGGGAGGTTAGTGTCGCTCTACACGGAAGCCAAGTGAACGTGCATCAGGTTTGCTCTCGCACACCGTTGCTGCGGCAACGAAAACACATCATGGGATCCGGCGGCGGTCGTCCTGCAACGATGTGTCGACGGTCTAAGCACGGCGTCTGGCATGGCGATCGTGTCACTGCTGAGGGTCGCGGAAGTTCTGATGCACAGGGTATAAATATTTTGAAATGTTAATTACGTACAGACAGATCCTTTGCTAGTTTTTGACAGACCTCTATGTAATGCCATGAACCCTGTATTCGTGATAACAGACATCTGTCCACACTTTTGCCATTTTCCTTGAGTTATATGCAGGTTTGACTGCATATTCCCTTATATGCAGGTTTGACTGTAATCTATAAATTGAAAAAGGAGGAAAAAGTGCAAAGTTATAGTGGTTTAGTAGAGTGTATGAATCTGAGCAAATGAGTGTAAAGTTCCTGTTCGTATGTCAGACGTAATATCAACTGATACATAATTTTGCATATGTATCATTAAAAATTCATATAGCATTATAATTAGTTCTTACTTCCAATGATCCTGCACCGTGTTCCATGCTGCTGTCACCACCTCAATTACGACTCCATCGCCGAGATTAACCTAGATTAAAATCGACGAGCGCAAATTGTTTGAGCTTGAAAATGAATTTTTAATGATACATATGAGAAATTATGTATCAGTTGATATTACGTCTGACATACGACCAAGAATATCGTGTTAGCTGCGAACAAGGAGAGACAAATCCACATGGTATGTCTCAAACAGCTTTATTTGCGAGGCAAACAAAACACAGTGAAGACTGAAACATAACAGAAGTCAACAGCATAAGTAACCTGGTTAGAATACGTTACTGTAGAATCATAATTGTACAGTATTATTAAACATTAGAATACAGGAACCATGCGTGCTTCTGGAACATTCTGGAAGCTGCAGTGCCAGTAGTGTTCCACGAGAAATTCATGAGGAGTCCAGATGTGCCTTCTACAATACTGGAGACATTTAACAAGGTAGCTTTGAAGCACCGGTGGTAGTAATAATAAGTTTGTCTACCCACTGAAAATATGTATGTAAGTGAAGTTCGAATTGATGACGGGCTAGCATCTAACATTAAATTCCCTCATGATATACTTTGCAAGCGTTTAGCAGCAAAATGAATCTTAATATTAGTTTTAACATCGATCTTTTCTCCTAAATCGTTGAAAGAATTTTATTTCGTAAAGCTATGAGGAAATTTGCTATGATTTTTAATTCTAGTAATTTTTACATTTCTGTCAAAGGTCTAAACTGAAAGTTTCACACTGAGGCTAATGTTAGGACTTTCTCAACTTTGTTTCCTACACACAGGGCCCCTGAACTCTGTGCCTATACACTCTAAATGATGACCTCAAAATAATATAGTTATTATTTTGAATTTACTTATTCACATAGATTCTAGATATAAAGCGTTACGATGTCTACGATCCATCACCTGCTAGATTAGTTGCAGATGCCAGTTGTAGATGCGTTGTTGGCAGCATGCCAGCTCATTGCGAGATTCGGGCGAGCACAGGTCCCGTCCACCACATCTATCTTCGTTTTCTCTTTCAGGAAAGCTATCATCATGGAGAATGCCTGATTTTCTCGGGGAGAAGACGAGGCATCTGTGCTTTCCAGTGGATCCAAGTATAATATGAGTCGCTCCTTCGTGGATATGGCCACCAGCATCCAGTGGTCACCAGTAGGATTCCATGGGTCCAGAATCACTGAAGCAGCACTGATGCTGCAGTCTGCCCAGAGCATTCCAGTTGGCTGACCCCTCGCTCGCGGACGCGCGTGAGTTCTACTCGCTCTACGACCACGCGTCAGACTACGCCGAGCTCGCGTGCGACTCCAGCCTGCTCTACAAGCTGCTCACGTTCTTCGAGTCGGACTTTGAGCGCAAGTCGAAGATGCACAAGCGGCGCGTCAACGCGCTGCGTGGAGTGCTCGGCGAGCTCAACCCGCGCCACTACCTGCTCGTCTGCCGGCAGCTGACGTACGAGATCGCCGAGGCGTACGGCGAGATGCTCGACATCAAGATGGCGATCGTCGAGGAGCAGCAGACGACGCCGTCGCCGCACGCCGTCAGGAAGATCAACCTGCTCTGCGCCAAGTGCATTCGCAATTTCGAATTGTTCCTCGACTCGTTAGGACGGCGAACTGCGAGATGCCATAACAGTTTGACAATGATAATATTCGTCCGGTGCTGATAGCTTACTTCTACATGGGCCGCATGCATTCGAAAGTCATCAATTCCAATGTTCACAGAAGGATAGAGTGTATTCAGAAGAGCACTGATTGCTATCAGTTATTAGTTAGTTATTGTGAATAGTAACCAGACATTGATACGAGTGGATTGTTTTTGTCCTGTCGATTTTAAAATAATTATCACATCGCCGATATTTGTTAATGGTTTGTTTTTTGTCGTTAGTAATTTTGTTAGTTGTTACGGAGAGAGTGAACTCAATAAAATGCGTGGTTATTTGCCTGTGGGAAGGATTAAAAAAAAAACCTAAACGCGTTTTGTTCTAGCGCGAAATGTTCCCTTTTGAAATTGTTTTAAAAACAAGTACTAATCTTCGGTGTTGTGCGGTTTGGATCTACTGTTTATAACTCGTCACTGTAGCTTAATATTAGTTAGGGGGTGGTAAAACTATAGGCGCAGTTTTATTATTACAAATATCTCGTATAATTATAAAT